GTGAACTGCAACTGCACCCTCAAGACACTAAACTGGGAGGAGTGGTAGATATGCTGGAGGGTAGGGATAGGATACAGAGGGACGTAGACAAATTAGAGGATTGGGTCAAAATAAATCTTATGAGGTTCAACAAGAACAAGTGCAGAGTCCTGCACTTAGGATGAAAGAATCCCATTCACTGCTACAGACTAGGGACCGACTGGCTAGGCAGCAGTTCTGGAGAAAAGAACCTAGGGGTTACAGTGGATGAGAAGCTGGATATAAGTCAAGAGTGTCTTCTTGTTGCTAAGAAGGCTAATGGCATCTTGGGCTGTAAAAGTAGGGGCATTTCAAGCAGATTGAGGGACGTGATTGTTCCCCTCTATTCAACATTGGTGAGGCCTCATCTGGAGTATTGTGTCCAGTTTTGGGTCCCACACTAAAAGAAGGATGTGGAAAAATTGGAAAGAGTCCAGCGGAGGGCAACAAAAATGATTAGGGGCCTGGAGCACATAACTTATGAGGAGAGGCTGAGAGAACGGGGATTGTTTAGTCTACAGAAGAGAAGAATGATGGGATATGTGGTAGCTACTTTCAACTACCTGAAAGGGGGTTCCAAAGAGTATGGATCTAAATTGTTCTCAGTGGTACCAGATGACAGAACAAGGAGTAAATAGTCTCCAGTTGCAGTGGGGAAAGTTAAGGTTGGATATGAGCAAAAACTTTTCAACTAGGAGGGTGGTGAATCAGTGGAATGGGTTACCTAGAGAGGTGGTGGAATCTCCTTCCTTAGAGATTTTTAAGGTAAGGCTTGACAAAGCCCTGTCTGGGATGATTTAGTTGGGGATTGGTCCTGCTTTGAGCATGGCGTTGGACTAGATGACCTCCTGAGGTCCGTTGCAACCCTGATATTCTATGATTCTAAGAGGGGTAACTGTAGTAGTCTATGTTTAGCTATCCAAAGTGTTCCTATATTCTGTTAAATCAGGGATCAATAATTCAGTGATTATACCCATCTCCCATGCCACTAGCCCAATTCCAGCTCAGTCTCTTTGAATTCACTGGGGGTAGGGGCTGAAGGATGGAGGGAATGTTTATAGCTGAAATTTTGCAAGGTTAGTGTTAATCGGATCTGTTCCGCTTTCCTGCTCGGACATTTTCTCTGGGGATCCCAGAGACAGAAAGGAGCAGATGTTACCATCTTGGCTACCCATCCCCATGATGACTCTCTACACTATTAATTCTCAAAGTGTGGGCAGAGCCTCCCAATGGAGGCACAGGAATGTGTCAGGGGAGGCGCGATCAGTGTGGATTGTTTGGTTTTTTTTTTAAAGAGCACTGGCATTCAGCCCCAGTTGGCTGGGGCTCATGAGGAAGGAACACGCCTAGCTGGGATGTGGGGATAAAT